CGGCAATTTTTTCTTTTCAAGCCACTTTACAAAGACACTGGCTACGAATCCAGGCAGTGCTGCTACCTTTGGGTGTTTCAGTGAACTACGTCCACTCTCGGGCTAACACAGCACAATCACCGCTGCTCTTTTTTTATTAGTCAGACTGAAATATTTGAATGCCAATTGTGTTCACCGTTTCAGTTGCGCTGCGGGGCTTCACCCGGGCCTCGCAGCCATTATCGAGCGCCTGTTTGAAGGTATGGCGCACTGAACGTGTTAAGGAAAGGCTCTAGGCCAGGATTTTAAATTGTAGAAAAAGGAGGATAGCAGCTAGCTTACCTTGAAAGTGTGGGTAGGCCATATAACAAGTAGAAAAACACTATGCACACAAAATTTCGTCCCTTAAGGGACTTTGTCAAGTGTAGAGAAAGAGTTACAAAATGGAGTTACAAAGAGGCCATTTTCTCTTTCTCTACACTTGACAAAGTCCCTTAGGGGACGAAATATTGTGTGCATAGTGTTTTTCTACTTGTTCTATGGCCTACTTATATGGTTCTATGGTTACTTTTTACGGGACTAACTTATAACTTCGAACTAGTTAGAAATTTTGACTAACTTTCCCAACTATGAAAGAATCCTATACTTTAATAAGAGCAGAAGTTGAACAAAATAACAAGGAAAAAGTAAACAAATGACTTATAACATGTGTTAACAAGCCATCCACAGTATAGGCTACTAGAAAATATCCAACAGTACAAATGGAAAAATCTGTTGTAACTACTGAGCAAAGATACACTGAAGGAAGATTACTCGATATAAGGGAAAATAGTGTCGTTCAAATACTGATTATTTTATAATTTGTGTATTATTCCCAGGCCCACTTTTATAAACGGGCAGACTGGGCATATGCCCAGGGGCGCCCTCAACTACCGCCCGCACTAGGAAAAATTGGTTTTGATCAGCCGGGATTTCAAAAATATAATGGGTGTTTTCAACTTGTAGTTAAGTGATTTTCCCTTTTTGAAAAAGTAAAAAAATACAACAAAGTTTAAAATACTCGACCTTCACATTATACCTCGTGTAGTCAGGGAAATGCAGGCAGCAGTGTGAACTGGTCGCACTCACTTTACTAGTACTATCAGAGGCAGGGCGGTAGGCCTGCATGGTGGAAGGAAAATACATATATGTGCTATTCCCGTCATATGCTGACGTCACTCAGATTGCAAACACTATTTTACCATTTAGAAAAATTATAAAAATAATAACAATCAAATCAAAACAAATATATACAATAACCATAATAAATAATATGGGTTGGTGTAATATGGCAATAAACCAGCTGATTTTTTGTTTGCAATTTGGGTGACGTCAGCAAATGACGGGAATAGCACACCTATGTATTTTCCTTACACCACGGTAGGCCTGTAGACTACAGCTGTTGATGTGCCCCTCCTCTCCCTACCACCCACCATCGCCACACCCACCCCCATGCACAAGTCACAACTTACCGCGCGGCGCCAGTCAGTACAGTACTGCTTATGCTTAGTCAGTAGTCAGTAGGTTGTGTTCGTGTTGTGCCTGCTGCACAGTCATAAAATCAGTCACAACACAACCTAAACTGTGACACTCACTAGTCAGTGTTGACACTCACACTGCAGTTAGTGAACCAGTAATAAATAAATAGAAGTGTGATACAAGTAGGACTATAAACAGTGAAAAATGCATAAAAACCTAGTGGAGCCGAGAACCGCAAGCGGTTGGCTCAAAGAAAAGAAAGTCAAGAGGTATTTTTAAAGAAAGTGAAGTGTACTAACCAGTTTTTCCACTGATTCTGAATTGAAAACTCCCTTCCGAAACAAAACTGGTAAAAAAAACACGCTAATGTATAAATATATATATGCATAGGCCTATATAGTAGAACCAAAGATAAAACATACTCCCTTAGTAGAACCCCGTTCAATACATGTGGAATGAACTGCACACTGTACTGTACTGAACAGTAATCAAATAATTCAAATCACTGCGTAGTGCATTAAGCTATTGGCGCAGGGCGAGAGGCATTCGCATATAGGAACTGTCAAGATCATTGCACTTATCCCAAACCACCTGCTGTAGATTTCGGCGAACTGATGAGTCAACCACCTTCCCTCTTCCCCTCCCTACACGGCTGTGGTCACAACCATATTAGTTATGTATATATAAGGGGGGGCGCTGCTTTTGGGTTTGCCCAGGGCGCCACTGACCCTTAACGCGGCCCTGATTATTCCAGCTTCAAGAACGAATAATTAATATATTGGTAACCAGATTACTATATGGTTGCCAGATTCTTGAACAATGGTGGATTTGTAGCTCTATGATCATTTAGCCACAGGTTTGGAATCTTCAGGAGCACAGTTTATATTACATAATACAAGCACTATTTACACATATTTACATTTTCGCACGGATGACTGTTCACGGTACGGCCGTAGGTACGCGAGCGCGTGCCCGCACCGTAGGCACTACATATGTCACTATTAGACTTTCACTGACAACTGGCTTGAGTTATGTTTGGTCGGTCACAGGATGGGGATGAGTTTATGGTGGTGTTAGAGCTTTCGCTTCCAGGACTGCGACGTTGCCACGCCTCTGCGTTGTTGCCACATTGTTCTTCTAGTTGGTGTATAAGTTTGAAAATTATTGTATTGTTGTAATCTTCTTTTTTGTTTAACAGGGTGTCTGGGTTTGAACTATGCATACTCTCACCCCCATCCCCTGACCGACCAAACATACCTCAAGCCAGTTGTCAGTCAAAGTCTAATAGTGACATATGTAGTGCCTCCGGTTCGCGCACGCGCTCGCACGCTCGGGTACTTACGGCCGTACCGTGAACAGTCATCCGTGCGAAAATGTAAATATGTGTAAATAGTACTTGTATTATGTAATATAAACTGTGCTCCTGAAGATCACACCTGTGGCGAAATGATCATAGAGCTTCAAATCCACAATTGTTCAAGAATCTGGCAACCATAAGGTAAACCAATTGATTATTTTACTTAGCCCTTGCCCACCAAACAAACCTTAATCCCCAAAGTATTGATGCATTCCAAGTCTGGGGTCCATCTGGGGGTTTTAATTTCCTTTTAATTTCCTTTTAAGTTCCTTGGATGGATCTCAGAGGACAACTGGAGTTCTGTGTGATTTAACCAGAGCTTTTGAATGTGTTCATCACAGTTTGTTAATAGACAAACTTGAAAAATATGGAATAAAAAACAAGGAACTAAATTGGTTTTCTACATACTTGAGGGATAGATATCAAAGGACTAAAATTATCAAATTTGGACATACTATAAATTCTAATTGGGAAAAAGTTGAAGTAGGGGTGCCTCAGGGATCAATATTGGGCCCCTGTCTATTTCTTATTTATGTAAATGACCTAACAAATGTGTTAAAGATGGATGTATTTCAATTTGCTGATGACACAATGCTGTTATGTAAGGGACCCAATGTTGAATCCCTTCAGCACACAGTAGATACAGAATTGGCCGCTTTAAGTGACTGGTTTAGAGTAAATGGGCTCTCCTTGAACATGGACAAGACTCAAGTAGTTAATTTTCGATCAGATCATAGAAATAGTTTAAAACAGACCACTTTTACAAATCATCAGTTAATGTCTGAGGAGACAGTCAATTTTTTGGGTGTTCATATAAACGAAAATCTTGACTGGCTTCCTCACATTGACAAACTACGGAAAAAAACTTTCTTCAGCAATATTTTCTCTCAAAACAATTTCTCAAGTTACAGATATAAAACTCAATTAACAGTTTATCATTCATATTTTTCATCATTAATGTCATACGGAATACTTGTCTGGGGAAATTCTTGCCATGGTAAGAAGATTTTTAGGCTTCAAAAAAAGGCACTTAGAATCATAGCTAAAGTACCCCGAAGAAGTCCGTGCAAAGTCATATTTCAGGCTTTTAGCGTTTTGACATTTTATGACCTGTATATTTTAGAAGCATTATTTTGGGTATTCAACAATTTGTCCATTTTCAGGGAGGGTCACACAAACCATAGGTATAACACTAGACATAAGAACCTAATTAAGTCCACTAGCCATAGATTATCACTATTTGAAGCATCACCTCAATATATTGGACCGAAATTGTATAACTTGATTCCTGATCATTTAAAAAACATTGCAAATCCAAAAAAGTTCAAACAAAAATGTAAAGAATGGTTATTGACAAAAACATTTTATTCTTTAAATGAATTTTTAAGTGGAAATTGGGAGGGTTAAGTGTTGAAATTATTTTATTTGGATTTATTACTATTTAGATTTAAGTATTATAATGCATTGACAAATGTCCTGTCATTTTATGATGTAATGGCATTCTGTAAATAAATAAAAAAAAAATAAAATAAATTGGCATAAAACTATTACCGTATGCTAAATCCCAATGAAAAAAAATATAGACAGAATCTTAATTTCTTTAGAAGTAGAAGCGAAAAAGGGAACACTCGTTGTCACAAGCCATTTTGAAACTACAGTAATTTGTTTTAGTTTATATCATATTTTTATCTGCTGTCATAGGTGAGCGTAAAAGTCAAGTTTTTTTGGGGAGAAAAATTCTGTGCAAATATAGCACTTAAGCAAGATAATTTAAAAGGGTATATTATTTTTGTTTAGTTGCATATTTTTACATTACCATTTCAAAGAAAAGTATTGAAGTAAAGTATTTCTGAATTGTTATTATTTCAGCAATAAAATGTCCATGGTTTCCAATAAAGAGATTTTTCGTAAATTATAAAATTCTTGTTTAAAATATTGTTTTGACGATTCAACCCAATTAACCACAACCAAGCGAGGCTCGGTCCCCCGGTACTGTTACTTAAGTAGGGAATAAACATGCTTAAGAGAACATTTTGGGAATTTGCTTAGTCTGCAGGTTTGCTGATGGGGGGGGGGGGGTATTTTATGTATTCTGGCGTACTAATGAACATACACATCTATCATTTAGTAGGTAAGTAAAACTTACACAATTTCCCTCTCTTGGATTTCTCTTCTAATTCGATCATCATTCAGTTGATATATCCTGAGTATCTTAAGCTGTTCATGGTTCATAGCTGCGTCTACCTTAAGTCTTCTTTGAAATAATTCAAATAGAGAGCTATCAAATCTTGCAAGTGATTCCTGAAATGCGTGAAATTTATTGAGTGATACTGTACTTCTTCTCCATTTTTTCTGAATAAATCCAGTATTAAATTTGTTTTCTAAAACCTTGTTCAGCATAATAAAACTAGAGCAAAATTTAACCGTTAGCACATGTTATTACTGAATATAAAATATAAATCCAATCATGGCTTTAAATGTGACTGGTAGTAATTCAATCGTAGTGATCTATTCAATAAAGTAGTCACGTAGTCAATGGTGTGACATATTCTCACCTGAATTGTGTTTTCTACTTTCTTGTACTCAATCTCTAGCATTTTTCTGTATCTTTCTCTCTCAGATGCAAGCACTCTGCATTTTTCTTCATAGTCTTTTATAGCTTTAAGATCAACCTCACTGTAGTCCTCAGGTTTCTTTTCTAGCTGAAAGTAAATAAGTATAAAATGAATAGCAACACTCACTCAATAGCAAGAAAAAAAATATCATTATGGAGAGTAGGTTTTTTTTATATTGACCCAAGTCTAAAGTTTGAATTAGTTCCTAAAGTTGCAAAAACCTCAATAGCATGAGCTACATAATGGCCAATTATGGCCTCAAGGGATTTTGAAATTTGCACTAGAATAAATTATTAAATTTTCTTTGAACTATTTAACAGATCACTCTAACATTATAAAAAATAGTTATTTATTTGATAAGACTGATTTATCATTACACTAGATAATAGTTCAATACCAAACATTTTGGTTTAGGAATTTCTTTTTTGAGTTGATCTTCCCAGCGCACTTCCAGCATTCCATCCATCATGTCTATAAGCGCCAGTTCTCGGAAATTGTCAGCAGCTAGCAGCTGCCTTATCCTTTCTTCTTCTGCTGCTTTTTTATCCAAAAGATCCTGTTCACTTGGTGATATGTAGGGTGTTTCTGGGACCTATAAACAAGTAGTATAACTCTCTTCATACCCGTTATGGTAAGATATTCTTGTAATGTTGATTATTTATTTACAGCAAACTACATAACCCTGCAATACAACAACCTGGCATCTACAGAAACGCCAGATTACACTGTAGACACAGAGGTTGCATCTTTTAACATTCAGTCTAATCTATTATATATTTTATTAACTCAAATGTTTTAGCGAATTTCCCATACAGGGAATAAGCTAGTACCGTAGTACTCATGGTAAGACCTGGACCCGGGACTAATTTACTTTTTCGTTTTGAGGTTCCTAGAGGCCAAAAACACCATCCGTTCAAATTCAAATATATATATGTGTCCGTTAGCACGATAACTCGAAAAAAAAAGATCCCATTTTAATGAAATTTGGTATAAACGTGCAAACCTACATTTATTCAAACGAGTTTGCGAACCAGCATGATCAGACTATGTGAACTGGGGTTTATGGGGTAAAAATATGTTTTTTTCCCATTCTTGACCCTAAAAAACACAAAATTTTACAATTTCTATCCAAACCATTTTGTAGAGCTTAAAAAACAAATAATTAGGTATATTGAAGCGCTATTGTGCGCCTAATATCGTTAGGGAGAAAATTCCAAAAAATTGTAAATTTAAAATGCCCATGTTATTCTTCTAAGATCAGAGACTTGGTCTTTCTAAAAAAAATCCCCAAAAAAACTTATTACGTTTGAAAACAAAGTATTGAGAAGGATTTTTGGACCAATAAAAGACGGAGACTTGTGGAGAACAAGAAAAAACAGGGAATTGAGGGAATTATATGAGGAACCAGATAATTGTGGGAATAGTTAAGATGGCAGAGGTGAGAGGGAGGTGATAAAACAAGTGATAAGAGGTTCTCCGGGGGGAAGGAGACCATTGGGAAGGCCAAGGATGAGATGGATTGACGAGGTTACATAGGACCTAAGGAGTTTGGGAGCACACCTGGAGCTGGCAGAAGACAGAGGATCCTGGAGGCACATGGTTGGCGATGCCAAAGACCACTTTGGTTTTCAATGGCCACAGGAGTAAGAATAAGTATGTTATTCTTATGGAGAATAAGTAAACTGTTGTAGTTTGCTTGTTTATGAACATATATTGATCAAATTTGGAAAATACATTAATTTCTTACTAAACTATTAACATTTTACAAAAAAAAAACACTTTTTAACCCTCTCTGTTGCAGCAAACCTAAGTACCCGTTAAACTAATTCTATTTAAATTGGGAATAAATGTGATATTTTTAAGGAGGCATTTTAGTGTAAATCCAATCAGGCTAATGGAAATTCGCTTAGTCTACAGGTTTGCTGTGGCGTGAGTATTTACTTTGTTAATTATTCCTTTAGTTAAGGGGATATGGCAGTGAAAATGCTAACTTCCTTAACATTATCACTAGGTCTTTCAAACATATACCATGTGTTTTATGAATAGGTATACACATAGTTAAAAGTAAATTTTTTCGTTAAGTACACTTTTAATATTTTTTTAAGTTTTTTTTTAGGTAATTAGCTAAATTTGATATAACTTCAATTCTAATTATTGGATTTTAATCATTAAACCATCAGTTTTCAGGGAATAATGCCTTCTAAATATTTAGGTAGAATTATAACAGTATCTTGATTTATTACTTTTTTATGGGTCATTTTGTAATTTTAAAAAGAGTAATTGGTTTTCTGTGGAAATAAAAAAATCTTTATTCACTTTAGAATAGACATACATTTACAATTCTACTTAATTATTTAGACTAGTGGTCGAAAGTTTGACCAAAAATATGTAATGTACTCGCATTGAATACTGGATACTGAAGTAGACATTTGTCCAGTTGTCGCCATTTAAAAAAAATTAAAAACATGTAGTTGTTTGAACCAGTCACAGTATGCGCGTCTAAAACTATATTTTCTATCTTATTTTTTGTTGCTGACAAAGTTGAAGGGTCATAACAGTTTGCTATAGCTCTTAACCCTGCAACACTCGCACGGGTGACAGTTGTCACCCAGCGCTTTTGTTTAGGGCACAGCTGGGCCGCCGGGTGTGGGGGAGAAGCGTGACCTTGTGGGGGAGTAGCTTTCCGTTACAAACAATAGATCCTACCATAGATAAAAGGAGTAGAGTGTCTACTCCTTTTATCTATGATCCTACTCAGTGTGCGTTCGCGCGTCGAACCAGTTGGTGGCCCGTGTTGTATCGCTCAATAGTCGATTGGGTGACAAGTGTCCCCCGCGCGAGTGCAACCGTCATGAGTGTACCGAAGCGCCCGCGATTGTGCGATGACTCATTTATTTATTTATTTATTTTCCAATAATCACATAACATCATATTCAGACAGGTCATTCGTCATTGTTACAATAATTTATAGTCCCTATACTAAAACTATTACTAAAATAGATTTCATATGCTGAGCCTTAACATCTACACAGCTTCCATATATTCCTCCAATAAGAAGAAGGCCTTCTCCAAAAGAAAGTTTTTTAACTTCTTTTTGAATTTAGGGAATGAATCAGTGTCCCTAATTGAAGAAGGTAATTTGTAGTATATTTTTGCACCCATGTACTGAGGAGATAAATGGAATACTTTAAGTCTGTGTTGAACTGGTTTTATATTGTTTTTAAATCTAGTGTTATGAGGATGTTCATGTTGATCTTCCATGAATGTGTCAAAATCACTTTTAACCATTAAAGCCAGTTTAAAGATATAAGAACTATACAAAGTAAGAATTTTAAACTGAATTAAAAACTCTTTACTGTGAGTAATTCGAGACACTTTGGCTAAGACTCTAACTGCTCTTTTCTGGAGGATAAAAATTTGTTCGGCATGACTAAAAGAACCCCATATACTCCGTAATTTATGATGGAAGAAAAATAAGGGTGATATACTGCTAATTGTGTGTCTAAATTTGTAGTATGTCGAATTACCCGAAGAACAAGAATAGCTCATCTGAGTCTCTTTGATAGATTCTTAATGTTTGTTTGCCAATTAAGTTGCCAATCTATATCAATTCCCAGGTAATTGACCGAGTTTTGAGAATATATTGATGTTTGGTTCAAATTTACAGCAATGTCTCGATTCTCATTAGCAACTGAAAAGTGAATTAGTTGTGTCTTTGACACATTCATAGATAGACCATTTGCTGTGAACCAGTCCCCGAGGAGTTGAAACTCATTAGTAATTAAGTCTTGTTTAAAATCCAATGTTTTTTGTTCAGTGCAGATTAAAGCAGTATCATCTGCATATTGAAAGGTATGCATTTTTGTAACATTACATAAATCATTTACATAGATTAAAAATAAACAAGGTCCAAGAATGGAACCTTGAGGAACTCCGTAGGGTGTATAACCCCATTCTGACTTATATTTAGTTTGGCATTTCTGTAAAATAATTCTTTGTTTACGACTTTTTAAATATGAAATGAACCATTTTAATTCCACATTTTTTATTCCATGTCTGCTTAATTTTTCTAGCAATATATCATGATCAACACAGTCAAAAGCCTTGGACAGGTCACACAGCACACCTAGTGTGCGCTGCGACCCGTCCAAGGCCTCCGCAATACAGTTAATCATCCTGGTAATAGCCTTTTCAGTACTGGATTTTGAGCGGAAACCAAACTGAGATGGATTTAGTAAATCATTTTGTTCTAAATAATCTGTAAGTTGATTTTTCACAATTTTTTCAAAAACTTTGGAAAAACAAGGCAAAAGAGCAACTGGTCGGTAGTCAGAAGGATTGTTAACATCACCCTTTTTAAAAAGAGGTTTTATCTCTGCATATTTGAGTTTTCCTGGGAAAATTCCTTCCTCGAGGACTGATTCACAAGTGTGCATAGAGGTTGTTCAATAAGTTTAAAAACTCTACTAATAACAAAGAGGGGAATTTCATCCTAACCTGAAGATTTAGTATTGCTAAGACTGGTGAAAACTTTTCTTAGATCCTGAACTGAAATTTTCCTAAATTTAAATTTTAAAGCAGCATTTTGCACTCTAATTAAATGTTGACTATTGTTTAGTAGCTGAATGGATTTATTTTTATCTGTCATTTGGTTAGCAATTTGTGAAACATTAATAAATAAATTGTTAAATTTATTTGCTATTGCCAATGCACTACCATATTGGTCTTTTCCATCATTCAATTGGATCTCGACGGGTGTGTCAGAGTTTTTTTCTATTTAATCCAATTTCTTGTTTTACGACCGACCAAGATGCTTTACTTTTATTTTTGGACCTATTAATAAAATTATCATTTGCCTTTAATTTAGCTAATGCAACCACTTTTTTGAAAGTTTTCCTGTAATTGTTGTAGTAAGTTAAAAATTGTGGGGTTCTATTCCATTTAGATTCCTGGTGCAATTTTCTTTTATTTTCTGCTGAAATTTTGATTCCTAAAGTAATCCAATTTTTATTTTTTTGTTTTTATCTATACCTACTTTAATTAACTGTTTTTGGAAAAACCTCATAAAATAAATTTAGAAATGTATTAAGAAAGTTGTTGTAGTTAGTATCTACATTTGGTGTGTTAATATCATGTCCATTCTTTAAAGCCAAATATTTACAAGAAATGTTTATTATATGGAACTGTTAGGTACGTAGTCTATGAGTTGAGTCTTAAACTCGTCGGAAATTATGACTTTTATTCGTTTTCAAATAAGTTATTTGTTTTTGAATAACTACTTTACTTCTTTGCAATTGCTCAGTTTCGAGCAACATGTACACTATACATTAAAACGTCACAGAGTGTTTTATTTCACGATGCTAATCAATAACCATTTGACATATTTTCATGATTTTGTGTTGCAAGAAAAATTGCTACCCCTAGGACTGCCAATAACCGATACCGTATGTTTTAGCTCGAAATACTATGACAACATACCTTAGTGTAGCAATAACACAAATAAGGTCCTCGATATCAATGCTTCTGTTTCATTCAATAAGATGTTTTATGACATTTCTTCAATTTGAGTCATGCCTATTTATATGTTACTACATAAATTACAAATAAAACTGTGAGCAATACTCTTACAAAACTTGTACAACCTTTTTTTGTCCGAACATAATCCTCCAGATGAACATATTTCCTAGCATCAAAAACATATTTTTTCAAGTAAATAAAACAAACGCCAATAAATTGCATTGCCCAGCTCTTTCATTAAATAAACTGAATTAAATTATTCAAACTGCGAAAGCATAACAGACGTAGCCCGTTGAAATCGGCCTATGGGGACCTGAGAAATTAGTCCATACCTATAATATTCAGCAAATATACACATTCTAAGCTCAAGTTTGATATGCAGTATGCCTATATTTTTATTTGGTAAACTGCCATAACCGTTTACATTTAATTTGATTGTATTACCTTAATAGTATAATTAATTGTATAATTTAAATTAAAGAAATAGTACCTATATTAAGAAAATTTGTTCTAGAAAAAAAAATTTTGTTTGTTAGCATTATAATGGCATTATGCATCAATTGGACCTCGCCGACAAGTTTTTTAAACTTGGTGAGGCCAAGCTGTTGTAATTTCTTTAATAAATATATTTGAATTTGAAATTGTATTAATTTAATAGTAGCCTATAATTGATTTGTCTGGTCGATCAACTGTTTCGTTTGAAATGAACTACATCAATAATAATTTGTGATTTTAAATATTATGGTTAATTTTTCTAAATTATGGTAGGTTAAAGTATTCTCAGCTGAATTTTACTCTTTACAGCGTCACTATAAAGTAATGGAATCTATTTTGAGTTACATTTTAGGTCGACAAACCTTGATTACAATTGTCCGTATACATTACCAATCATAATACACAGCAATTATTATTTTGTAGACTTATTAAACTACTAGCTGTTGTACCCGTGCTTTGCAACGGGAAGAGGACACAAAATAGAAACATTTTAATCTTTACATCTGTTGCATATAATAGTTACACATCCGCCAACACTTTTAGAAACAAAATTCAACTTTTATGGCCTTAATAGAAACGTTTAAGTTATGACTTTTAAATCTGGTAAGTAGTGGATAACACCATTTTGGTTTTGATTAATTTTAAATCTTGTGTAGGCTGATGTGAGAAAAACTGACCAAATCTTCGAATAGAACTTTCACATACTATTTACCTTCATCTCCCTTAATTACATATCTTTTTATTTATAATTTACATTTTAAATTTCAATTTTGAAATTGCAAAAATACTAATTATTAAATTTAAATGGATTTTTTTTATTTCACTCTTCTTCATATTAAATAACAAATCCTTCCATCCTCAGTTTCTTCACTCACTATAAATCATTAGCAAAACTAAGTCAGCTGTTATAAACTTTAGAAGTATTGTTGAGCCTTATCAATACAGTCTTTTGAAATATTAATGAAACTATATCTAAGTTATACTATAAAAAAAATTAAACAAATAATTTAGCATTAAAGACAGCAGACAAAACTAATATGATTATCATAGCGTCGAGGACTAAAAAATATGATAGCAAATGCAGTACATTAGGCCTATATTTTTCATTGCATCTCTGATTCTACTCTACATAAATATCAACAAACAACTTAATATACAAACCAGTTCTTTTAATCAGTTCCATCGTCCATTGCCTTTAAATTTTCACACTTACCATTAAGTAAACATAGTAACAGATATTTCATTGATTTAGAAACAAAAGAACACTGTGTACTGCTTAGTTTTATGATATTTTTCTTGGTTTAATTTAATCAGTGGTGTGGCATAACACAAATAAAAAATTTATCAAATAAAGTAAATGTGAACTGAAAGCTATGTTATGATAAAATAAGCGTATTTTGTATTACCATTTGATAATTAAATATAGTTACACATATAGGCCTACAACAGATTTTAGAACACAAAAATCAATGACGTACAATTTAGTTATTGATGATATTCTTTGTTAAGTTAATCTAACACATGTTAAGCAGTTCGAATTTATTTAAAGTAGCCTCCAAATTCATACAAAACATCTATACTTTGTAATTTTTATACTGTTTCCATGAAAACATATCAATAACATTATTTTCATAACTGAGACGCTTTAAAAAATCCAAAGCAGAGCCAGAGTTTTTACAGCAACAGTTTACAGAACCTTTTTTTTCTATAATCATTGACAGTTTTAGAATAAATAATCCATGATAAAACGCTACATTAAAATAAACCTACCTCATAGGTAGTTATGGAAAATATTATATTTAACTTTTTTGTATCAGCTGTCTGAAATTGTGAAATATTCAATTTAGCAGTGTTCTTCTTGTTTACATTGAAATGTCAAAGCAAATGTAAACAAACATTATTAGTGTTCTAATTGCATCCATGGAGACCAATCAATATTTACTTTTAAAATGTTCACCTCAGAACTTATAAAGCCAAAGGGGCAAAGCCTATGGTCAGTATCGAAATGTGAATAGTCCTATAATGGTCCTTGGTATATTAGCTATATTTTTGTAAAATTTAAGCCCAGTTGGTTCATTAGTTTTTGCACCTATTAGTAACACACATACAGACAGACACCATT